TGTGCAAGTGGACAGGAGAGGCCATTTTTACCCTAGAAAAAGTGCAATCTAAAGACTGTAGAATAATCAAGGCATTGAAGATGGGACTGTGCTATGAAGCACATGACAAAAGTGCACACTTGGCTTGGTAGTATCCATCCTGACCAGAAGTGAGCAAATTTTCCTTGGTTGCTTCTCACCCAGCCAGTTTGCGATGCTGGGACCCTGGGAGTGCTCCTGTGTTCTGCTCAGGAAGAAAGTGAAAGCTTTGGATGCTTCCTCCTTGCCATTGGTCCTGGGAGGCTGCTGCGGCTTTCTGGATCTGGGAATGATACGAGGAGCCTGTCAGACTACCTGGACTCTGACAGAGAATAGCAAGGGGACCCAGGCCCACGATTGGGCCTCAACACCCCTCATCATGAGAGTAAAAAGAGGGCATGTGGTGAGATGCAGAGAAGGAAGAGAAGGGCAAGGAGCAGAAGGTTGGGGTTGTTGGCACCGTCTCTCTCGATTTATCCCTGATCTAGCCCAGAATTTCAGCATTTCTGCTGTCTATATGTATAGAGAGCAGGGAAGTCTGAGACCGTATCAGAGATATCTACCATCCAGCCTATATCGGTCTGTGCTTTCTAGCACACCAGTTCCCAGAGGAGTCTCTAGCCTCTGCATAATGACACTCACTGGCACGGTAACTTCTGCCCTGTCGGGAGGCAGTTTCTGAAGCTGGAGGCAGACACGAGACAAGGAAACAGAGGTGGGAGTTGGCATGGGAACACACTGACTTCCAACATAACGGCTTCCAATGATGGAAGAGAACTTCAGATAAAGAGTTTGGGCAGAACACTGGAGAATATTCCTTGTGGAGGAACCCACCCTGTGAAAGCTGCTGTGTTAGAGGTCATGAAAACAGTCATCTGCCCAATAATTTAATGGGAGCAATACTGATCTCTAAAATAACAGTGAACTAAGCAAGCCTTGTGCATGTGCAGAAAAATCGGTTAGGGTTTCATCTACAGGAGAGAGGGCCTTGCATTGGAGAGAAGCTTCTCTGTCTCTGTCCTGTTTGGTTCTGCTTGTTAACTTTCCTTGTCACATCAGAGGCCCCGTGTCCCTTCCCATCTTTATCTGATCATGAAGAACTCAACATAGAGCTCAGGCTACAGGTCACCACCTTGTACTCACAGGGGCTCCGGCCGAAGCTCTTTTTATACTCCCTTCTCACAAAGTCTGATTTTACTTCATTAACATTGAAAAACCTTAGTCCTTGGAAACACTTCAGGTAGAGCCAAGTGATTAGGCATGCCACCTTCAGAAGAACACCTTTTTCATTTAATCCAGAGGTGTGAATCGTGTGGCTTGTACAGATGCATAGAACCATTAGGTAAAGGCTACATATGTTAGAATGCTGTTTTCACTCAGTCTAGCCTGAGCTTCAACCAGTCACGGTGTGATTTTCCAGATAGTTTGGGAAACCGGGGAAGGACCAACCAGAAACTCTACAGATACTGAAAACCCCATCAGCCAGCTGATAGCCTGACTAGCAGCTCTCCCCATTACAGGCAGGCTGTTACCCTCATACATGTTGCCAGGATTTTAGGATTACATGGCCAAATGTGCCATAGATGGAGTTAGATTTCTAGATTTCTTGTGTAACTGGAAGGCTGAACTGGTAGGTGAACTTGTACCACAACGCTGGATATAGACTACTCAGGGAATACATGACTAGTTTAGTGCTTGAGCTCTACAGTTTGAGGATGCTGAGCAAGAACGCTATCATCAAATCATTAACCCTCTGGGTTAAAGACTATCATATTACTACAGAAAAACTTAAAAATAGGTGCAGAACCCAGAAAGGGAGTTATCCTTAATCTCTAGGGGTGATTGTTATGACGATGAAATTAAGATTTTCCCTTAGAACAATAAAAGCCATTTTAAATAAACATTGTTCAAGTCGCCTTCTAAGGATAATGTTTGATAATATACACACACAGGAACATGGCAACCACAGAGAGTCAATGCTGGTATAAGAAAAATATAGCAAGGGTACAGGCTAGGTTAGAATACAGCATGCAGAAAGGTGAGGAGTTGAAATGGAAGAAAAAAAGCATTTGCACTGAGCAATAACACAATTTATTTGTTAACATATTAAGGTACCTCCCTACGGAATTAGTCTCTTAATTCACTGCCAGTACCATTGCTCACTTACCTCAATTTAGCAGCAAATGGGGGAAAGCGTGCATGAGGAAAAGCATTCGCTTTTGTTATGCAGCTTCATTTAACGTTCCCAGTTCAACCCAAAAATGTGATGTTTGAGGCACAGCTGGAGTTTTTTGCCACTTAGAGTTGTTTGAGACTAATAGCTCTAAAACAATCTGAAATTAGGAGCTTTGGGAAGTGGGATTACAAATTCAAAGATAATATAGGCTAGCTCTTCCCTGCACTAGGCTGGTTCACAGGAGGCCATGCTTTCTCCTTCCTCTACCATGCATAACACAGGAGACCAGTGCTGTCCCTCCAGCAGAAGCCCTGTGTGGGAAGTCTAGCTCTCGCTGCTCAAATCGCTCCTGGCTATTTAAAGAGCACCCCTGTCCTAACAGCCGTTTGCTCATCAAAACAGCTCTAACCTCTGTGTAGGCAGGCATGTAATACACTGAACAGACCTCTGACTCCTCTTCCTCACCCTACACTAGTGTCAAGATATTCATGCTGTTGCAGCCATGGAGTTCCTAAGAATAAAAAAATGTTGCAAAAGAGAAGACGCACTACAGCCACCAACCTTTCAGAAATATATATATACACAGCATGGAAACAGGAAACATAACAAAACAAAATATACTTTATTAAAATTAAGCATGTTAGCACCTCAGTGTAACCTGGAGAAGTCGAAGAGTCCAGCAGTTAACCAGTCCAGCAGGCCAAATGGCTGAACATCCTGAAGTGCATTCCAATGGTAGAAAAAATACCACGACTGTTACGACACACACGTTCTCAAGAAGCTAGGACGCACAACCGGTCTCATCTGTAAGGAGAGACATTGTGCTGCCTATTGTCTTGATGGGAGCATATAGATCTGCTGGACCAATTACATATGTTAAATCAGATGGTGTAGCAGGTGTCTGCTTTCCCTAAAAAAACCCAAAAACCCACAAATAAAAAAACCAAAACCAAACCAACCAACCAAAAAAATCACTGCTTACTTGACTCGCAGGAAAATCAGCATATCACGGAGCTGAAGTTAAGAGCTACATATCAGATTGGAGAAAATAAATTAAAATGAAATAATGGGAAATACTTAGTACATGAATAGACCTGTAGTATCCTTATGGTCAACCATCCAACTCAGTACACACGTTAATAGAAAAATGACCCATGCATCACATAGCAGGCTGTGACAACCAATGCCTTTAGCTGAACGGGCTACATGATCAATAGATAAACCTCCAGCTACCAAATCCCACTGTGCCCCTTTGTTTGGTCATACAGAGTATTGAAACCGACAGTTGTAAAGCTAAGTTAGCCAGTGTTACAAAGATTACAATGTTTTCAAACTAAAGATACTTTTTACATTTAGAAAATACTTCTATAAAACTTAGTAAAACTGACATCCCGATCTACCGAGTGTAACGCACTCTGATTACAGGAGGAAGATCTCACAGACCCAGAAAACACGTGGGCATTCCTCCCTCGGATGTAATTATGGGCACACTGTGGTGAACTGCCTTTTGTTTCCAACATCCATCGCTATCGAAGCCGTGCTCCCTAAGTACACATCGCCATAGAGCTATGCAGGTGCACCAGATACCCTCCTCGTCCTCCTCAGCGCTGAGGTATCTATTCCACCAGGCTAACCTAGAAGTACACATTCGAGCCTTGCTACCCTCACTCCACCCTCCTTCTAGCCAACATTGATTTGGTTTCCTGTTGCTGAAAGCGAGGGGACTAATGCTGGCTAGAAACAGAAACTACACAATCATTCCACATAGTTTTGTTACAATACTCTTAAATCTCGGTTTAGAATACGCAAGCACGTTTCAGTAAGGTCTTGCCTAATGTACAGATTATTAGTCATGCCAACTAGTTTAGGATTAGACAGCAAGGGTTTGCAACCACTGCAGATAGATAAACTCACTTCACTTCTGTCTCATCCCAGTTCTCTGAACGAAAGCCAAGGACTTAAATGCCGATGTGTTACAAAGGCTCCGTTTCATTAGAGGGAGTTCTTAAGCCAATGAGATAAACTACAGCCGTCAAATGCCACCGGGTTCTTTGTACCAGATCGTAATCCTTACTAGTGTTGAGAGCATCAAGACATCTGTAACAAATACGTATGTACTGCGGAGAAAGCAGAAACTACATAGTACAAGAGCACTCTTTAATCTGGGGATTCTTTCACGCTAGAAACAGCAGTCTTTTACGGCATCAGTAATTTACTGAAGAAACACATCACCCTGAGAGGGTTTCTAAAGCTTTCCTCGTGCCTCTGCTAAGCAAGGCCACACGCGACATCGTTGTTCGTTCCTATGAAGGGTACAGTGCCACCCACGCTTTCAGGCACGCCTTCTCCAGGGGGTAGTGTTGCTGCTACCTCACTTAACACATGGCGAGTTTATTTGCTGAAAACTGATACCCTACGTCCACTTCGTGGTGACACGGGTCCCATCTACACTGCAAGAAGTGCTTTCCGCCGCTGCCGGCATAGGGAGGGTGCCGATGGGCCCGGAGTAGATGGGACGCCGGCAGGCGCCCGCAGTGCTAGCTCTGGGGTAACGCTGGATCAATAACGGGGGTCGGCAGTGGGTTGAGAGCGGCCGCCCCGTCTACGCAGGGGAATCCGATGGCGCGGGCTTGCCCGGGGCCGGGGGCTGCTTCGGTGGGGGCGGGAGGGACCGGGCAGCGAGAGCCGAGGAGGGGCTGTGGGGCCGCAGCCCGTCCTGTCTCCACTCTGTCCGGGAACCTCACCGAGGGTGGCGGGGGCGCCGGGGTGGAGAGCC